AATTGTTTTTTTGAAAAAGACTAGCGCCTCAAGTGTTTTGAAATAAATTTTGAAAAATTTATTCTGAATTTCGACAAATAAAAGTGGGCGTTACAGCATGTCTCGTGTATATACAATTATTTAGATAACGGTCAGCAAACATGTAAATAGCCCAAAAAAAAAAAATAGTTAGGTAAATTAGCCAGTTGGAAATTTTAGCTAGCCCAACAAGCAATAAGTTCACTCCAAATCTTCAATAATCAAATGACATCCCAAGTCCAGATATCACACAATTATACGAATAACATCAAGATCTTCTGAAAATAGGCTTCTTCGAACTTGAAATATTGAGAATCTGAGAGTCCGCCTGAGAACAGAGGATTAAACGAAGAAATGAGAGGCTATTTTTTCCCCTCAATTAGCCCTTTAATTTCCACCTTGTTGTATTGCGACCGACCCGCTGGAGCAACTTCCGGTGGTCTTCTTCTCCTTCTCTCTTATGTTTGCCTAATTTCATTTTTTTTCAGAAATGCTTTTATTTTTTAATTCCTATTATAATTAACTAGGGCTTTGCTTTGAGTTTCTTGATGAAAATTGGAGAAGAATAAAAATATGATTCAATGAAGTGATCAAGCATATTTTGAAAGTGAAATTTGGAACTTTGAAAATATGAGAAAAACGATATTAATGGGAAGCTTGAGAACTGTGAAAAAGCAATCGACATTTATTTGAATTCACAGAGAAGATAAGATGAGTTGTATAGTTTACAAAGCTTTTTGATTCCAAGTGGAATAGAGTTTGGATAAGATTTTATTTATTTNGGATGTTTCATTGTCTCTAAAATGTTTACCAATAGAGTAAGAAATGAATTTAAATACTCTTACGTTTGAACTTGAAATAAAAAATGTGAAAAATAAATGTATTGTAAAGTCTACATTTAAAATATTTTACAAATATTATTTGTTGGTTGATGTTTTAGGTTGAATTTTCAAATGGATGCCAGTTAGTAAAGAAGAAAACTATGCTCTCATTTTTTAAGCCCAAGTCGGCTACGAAAGATTCTTCTTACTTTAATGCGGAAGCTTCAACCCAAAATGAGTTTGAACACCAGCATACGGCTAAGTACAAAATGGTGGATATTGATGTGAGCAACTACGTTTTTCTAGATCCGGCTACGCGTACTCCAATACGGCAATGTCCTATAAATAGACATGGCCAAAGGGTTGACCGGCCCGCCGACCCAGCACTGACCCGGCCCGGACCCGACCCGGTCAAACCCGTTGACCACGGGTCCGGCCGGGATTTTAGACAGCCCGTGTAAGGGTCATATATTTCACGACCCGGCCCGGGTCAATGACCCTCCTTTTCTATTTTTTTTTTATTTTTTCTATTGTTTTTTAAAAAAGTAACGGACTTGGCCCGGACCCGACCTGGCCCGGACACGAACCCGACACGAGTATAGATCCGTGCCGGTTAAGGGTCATTATTTTCGAGCCTGTTGGCCCGGCGGGCCGGGCCGGGTCGTGACCCGACCCGGGTTTTGGCCATGTCTACCTATAAATGAACGAGACGCAATTAGGCTAGCGTATATCTTGAGGGGACCATATCAACCTATTATGGAGTTTCCGAGAACGGAATTCGGAGATCAATCTCGGCGCTTTCAACAAAGTTGGTATAAACAATTTCCATGGATAGAGTATTCTCCTCTTCGAAATAAGATGTAAGAAGACTTCTTAGCGAATTTTATGATTGTCTACATCGAGAGAGAGTTTACTTCGAAGATCGACACAGATTCAATAATTGACGAGTTTTATAGTATGAAAAATCGGAAGACGCATCTTAAATAGGTAATATTTTTTTTATGTTTTTTAAATAGTTGTAATGACATGAAGCAATTTATATGCATTTCTTAATTAATACTTATTTCTATTTTTTCTTTATAAATTTTAGCACATAATTTAAATTATTCTTATAAGCGACAGCCCAGGGCATTTTGCTTTTTTTGGCTATGCCCCTGTTTACAATATTTTTTTCTTACGCAGTACTCTTTTGACCGAACAATGTACGTTCCCAAATTTTAATACATTTATAAATTAGCGACTTAAAAAAATTTGCATTTATTAAACCAACCATTTGCCTACTATTATTGTTAAATTTTAAATTTTTTGTCCTTGTCAGAAAAGAAGAAAGAAAAATGAGTTGAAATTGGTTTAACTATTGTTTTCAGCCCTCTGAAATAAGATTTAGGTGATGACTTTTTATCATTGTGTATGTCTCCATTTATGGTTTACTTGAACTTCTTGAAGACATTTAAATCTAAGGTTACATGCAGGTGTTCTAAACATCAGATGATAATGTTTTTTTTCCAGCATAGATGTGATATTTTAGTGTAAGACATGGCCTGAGGCTGAAGTATAGGTTAGAACTTCCATAATAATAAAACTATTTCGTTAATTTAGTTATAATTTTTACTATTATTTTATAAAACATAATATTTGCTTTTTTTTCTTCTTTCAATTAAGACTTTGCAACCATGACTAATGCGAAACAATATAATTTAGTGTAGATCTTAGGCATATGATTTTAATGCGTGTTTAATTAAAATGCTGAATATCAGTTTTGAATTGTATAATATACACCCACAACTCTAAACGACATAGAAAATAGATCTTAGGCATATGATTCTGTATAAATTCGTCTAGAAAATATAAAGAATCCAAATATTAAGCAAAAACTGGAAGAGAATTACTTGTCCGACCATCGATATTCCATATTACCAATTCGATATCCAATATTACCAATCGATACGTTGATATCCCATATTACCAAATTGAAATCGGATATTACCAATTGGTACATTACGAGACGGTATTTAGATAGTAGGTTAAAATCACATTTTTTTTCATCGGTAACTAATCACTAATGAGGTTCCCATTATAAACGTTAGTTATATAAACAATTTTAATTTTATGAGTAATGTTATTTAATCCACATGAATGAGAAGTTGAATTACATTTCAAGTGTAAAATCATTATTAAAAAATTAAAAAATAATATATTTACACTTAAATTGTGAGTTGTAACCTAAATAGGAGCCGCCCGATCAATTAGTTCCTTTATTCGCACGTCACATCATAGTACAAAACTATTACTACTCAATAGTCAATATAGTCAATGGGTTTTGAAAATTATTTCACATCATAGTACAAAAATATTACTACTTCAAAGTCTATATAGACAAATGGGTTTTGAAATTTATTTTTGAGTGATTATCTGAACATATTATTTTTTTAGTCAATGGAGTTATTCCCTAAACAAAAGGATCTTTCTGGTAAGGTTATGGCGAATATAATTTTGGTCCACATTATTGATTAGTGCAATTGGACATATATTATTTTAGAAAAAAATATAAATAAATTAAAAAAGATGGAAAAATAAAAATTATTTTAATTATAATATATATTTATTTTTAAAATTGTGAATGAATTTAATTATAATATATATTTATTTTTAAAATTGTGAATGAAATGAGTTGAGATATCATATAACAATTAGATGAGATATAAAACTAGTAAAATTGAAACTGTGAGTAGATATAACATGAAATGTAATGATTAATGTAATATAAAATAATAAAATAACTAAAAATGCAAAATGAGAATCCTAAAAATGAAAATGAATTCTAACAAAGTCCATTATGAAAACTGCCTAAATCTTTCTCCTCATTGTTACCATTTATCACCCAGACTCCCAGTTATATAGTTCTTCATGTTTCATTAACCAAAGACACAATTGACAAATTTTATTACAACAAAAAGGAGTACTATCATTGGTACAAGACAACCATAAAATATACACACGCGTTACTCTCGAAAATTCACCAAGAGAATATCGCAATTCATCAATGCATCTGATAATGAAAATTACAAAAATACAAATTATTGCTACCTTCAACTGCTCACCACAAAAGTTGGGAGTTCAATCGATAGTCTTTGATCTCGAGTTCGAAGGGCCCGGAAAAACCTGTCCAACCATATACGAAATCTTGCCCCAAGATGAATGCCTATTGATGAGTGGTTCGGATGAATGAGCAGCAGGAGGAATTAATAGGCTCGTTTGTCTTTCTGAATAGGATGCCCAAGTGACCATATAAAGCCCGACTATGATCAGTATTCCTCCAAGAATGCTGTTTGTTATACAAGAATCCATAGGCACGTAGAAATAATGATTTCAATTATGTGGAAATCACAAGATCTTATGGAAGATCGATTTAGATGAGAACATGCATATAGATTTATATATATTATACTTGATAGTTGTGTTGATTTCACACGAATTAGCACAATGCATTTTATTTTCAATCATAAAGTAAAAATGAATTCTCAAAAAACACGTTATGTCTAAAACATACTTTTTGGATCCTTAATAGATAAATCTCGCCTACAACGAGTAAATTGAAAATGTCACCAATAACATGGCTACAAGAACTGCTTTCAACAAAAATAAAATAAAAGATCCTTGCGGTCAGAGAAGCCAAAAATCTGATGTATTGTATAATTCCTCGTCTGAAAATATTATTGTTTTAAAGATATTATACAAATTAAAAATCTAAAGAAATGACATTCATTCTTATTTAAATAGGGTTATTTAATGTATTTCCTACTCTAACACTCATTGTACAAACCAAATTTGTTTTTCACAATAAATAACAGCAATTTGGACTTCTTGGACCAAAAAATGCCTTAAAATCTTAAAATGATAATAAATTTGGGTCAAAAGAAAAGAGGAAAAATGTCAACTATATCAGAATGGAAGGTGCAAATATTATGAAAAAATACAGAATGTACCTTCCCAAATAAATTGTGCTTCCCAGGAAAATTTTGGAGAGAAAAGCTGATGCAGCAGGTTGAAGTGGATTATACATAGCAACCAAGGCAGGACCAAGGATCGTGTTTGACCATGTCATAATCACATAGTTCAGAGCTGATGCTATTATTCCCTACAGCGACAAGGAAACATAAGGAAAACTAAAGAATGAATGAAAAGACAATAATCCAAGAGTAAGATCTACCATTCAAATTCACAAATCATATAAAGAACTTAGAGTAATAGAAATGGGTTGAAAAACATTGTGACTCCAACTGTATAAAAGTTTACTAAACAAAGAGATCTATAGGTCCATAACCTCATATGAGCTCAGTCTGCAGATTCCTTAAATGTCAAAAAATGTCGATAACCTTATTATCATTGCCTCCTTATTTTCATATCTTTGGATAAAGAAGACAAATCAGAAAAAGGTCATGAGGAATCTTCCTTTTATATATAACATATATAAAGATAGAAGAAACACAAGGTGTGGACCAATCAAAGCAGCAGTTACTAATAATGGCTCTCTAGCTTCCGCACACACACATATATAGAAACAGAAGAGATAGCTTACAGCATAGCAAACTGCTACAGCCTCTGAATTTGTGAGCTTCCATTCTGCTGACTCATCAGTCAAAAAGAATGCAGTCGCTATCATAAACAGTACACCGAAGAAATACGAATAGGCCGTCACTGATATATTTGCAGGATACTTGGTCAAAACTGGAGCCTGATAGACATTAAACAAAACAGAGCCACCAATAAGACTACATAAAATTCCATCTATGCTATCAAAATCAAATTAAATACGTCTATCATTTTGGTTGATGAAACAAGCTATTATGATGCGGAACACAAAGATTTGACGCACTTTTTAATCCTCAAACAAAAGCATACTACCGAATCCTATTCAAGCTTCTGAAAGCTGAAAGCAGAATAAGATGATGAGAATAGTAAAGGGTTCCCATATATATATGGACAATCTGTGTGAATACAAGAGAACACTGACTGACAAATCGATAAGAGTCAATAAATACTAAAACAAAGAAAGTTATTTGAAATTCAGTACGAACAAGAAATGAAAATTTGCTTATAAATTTGTAAAAAATTACTTGAAACGCCAGATATGCCGCCATGCACATGCAGTTCCCAATTAAGCATAAAACCCCAAGGTTCCAACTGTCAATCCCTAACCCCATTGAAGTAGAAATAAACCAAGCAGCAGGCTCTGGCTGGCCCTTTGCTCCTATCTCCCCATTTGAGGTAAAGTCTGCTTCTTCATGTCCAAACACAGCTGGACCACGGAACATAGCCATTAGAATGGCACCAGACACACAAACAAAAGTGCCTCCTAACTTTGTTTGGCCTTCAATTTTCCATAAGTTCACTGTTTCTGTACTGCATATAGGACAGAAAGAAGAGTATCAAATAACTATGACGGTATCAGCAGAAAATATGGAAATCAGTACCAATATCTAGCATCATGCATGCAAAATACCATAGAAATAGCTTGGAAAGAGAGACTGACTGACCCCATGATAACAGCTAGCACAAATGTAAAAACTGGGATAGCAGGCTGTATGGCTGCAGCATAAGCTGGATCTGTATACCCAAGGCCAAAAAGAAACAAAAGCTGGTTTCCAAAAATCCTAACTCAACAGCAAAAGACAGAAGAAAGAAAATAAAAACGAAAGGCATAAAGAATATACAAACAAAACCCAGATATACAGACACTTCACTTACCCAGTTAAACCAAGGAACATGAATGTCATTAAAAGGTGCTTATTTAATGGCAGTCTCAGGGTCCTGCAAACCAGGAAAATAAACACAGATGACTGCTGCATGTTTTATATTAACCCCAAAAAAAGTAAACGTTACGAAATTGTTCCCTATAACTTGATCATTTTCACACATTTCCTAAATGAATCAAGTGCTTGAGTTCACTTAAATATAAGCAGCTGCAGCGTACAATTGTTAAGTCGAACGAAAATAATGATTAGCTCCATCCTTATCTTCGTATGGATTCCCAAAAGAATCTAACAATGAAGTGTTGTTAAGGAAACAGGAAACAGATAGACACGGCAAAGCATCACCGACACGGGTTTTGTTGAAACAACACGATTTTATCTGCTATGTAAGTCGATCTACCCAAAAGTTCCCCAATTTCCTTATGTTAGTTCAGAGTCCATAGTGAAATTCCACCCATCTATGGAGCTCAGGTACTTCAGAAAGCCACGTAAGTATTTCCAACGGAAACAAAGTTTGGCAGTATATATATTCATATGTAAAAAGAGGGGACGAAAATGTTAAGGTAATCTTTGCTTTCTTTTTTTGGAAATTCCAAAAGATGAAAATGTTAAGGTAAAAGGAATTATTCATTCTAGGTCAACGTTAAGCTTTCACCGTTTCCACCCCCATTATCATTCGTTCTTGGTAACCAGAGAGAGATGGAGATCATCCTGACTACAAAGAAAACTCATGCATGCATTTTTCCTCCTTCCGTGCAAATTAAAACTTTCAGAATTCATGACAACTAACACATCTATTGAATGCTTGAAGTATGACCTTCTTTTGCCCGGCCATCTCGTTCCAGCAATCAAAAGTTAGCAAGCGTAACTTCATAATTGTTCTGGCAGACAGAGTCAATTCACTGAACAGGGCAAAAATTAAGCACAAACTTGCTCGTACAGTACAGAATTCTCACCAAATGAAAACATTTCCCACCTTAATTCACGGCGTACTCACAATCCACACACACACACACATACAAAATAGCTGGAAATGAAGGAGAGAGGTTCGAATTTACAGACTTCTCCCGGAAATAGGCGACGGGCGCGAGAATCGTGATGGCGATGAGGTCGCGGTAGAGGCAAAAGACGAGCCGGTTGGCGCCGACGTTGAGCGCTACCTTGGTGATGACGTGGTAGCCGCCGTAGAACAGCTGCACGGCCGCCATGGCCACGTGCGCCCTCCAAACGCTCCCCGCCGTCGAAGTCTCCGCCGCCGACATGATCGCAATCTCATCCGCAGCGACTTGCCGTCTGGTGGCGTGCAATGAGTTGTTGGCTCCATTATTATATAATTATTTTATTGCGATAAAATTAGCTGGAATTTGGTGGTCTGTGGAAGGTGGGACTTCTTCTCTAAGCGAAGGGAAATTGGATTACGGCAGCTCATATCTTATTTTATTTTAATTTAATAATAAAAGTATTTTATCTAGTTTTATAGTTTTTTTGGATATCATAATTTAAATTAAATTAATGTTTGGATAAAATAGTTGGTCAAAATAGCTTATGCTATCCACTGTATACTATGCATGGATTATAGCCAATTTCTGTACTTTTATCATTGTAATTTGTGGGCCAATAGGTCATGGTCTGATACTCAATCTGAAAGTAATTGATAAATTTTCAGGATACAGAAATAATATTAAATTTACGAGTACAAAATCTTTTCATCATAAATACGTTCTTTAATAACTAACATAATTTAATAGGTCAAGTTGTTAATTAGAGCCTAATTAACTGTTAAATGTGTTTGATACTCTAATTATATTTAATTAAGGTAGATATTATAGTCACTTTTAAAAACAAGAAACAAATTCACTCAATTAATATATTGCATGATTTTCGGGGAACATGCATATCGGTAAAACAAGAAATCAATTCCTCTCTCTTCATACCTCGGTCATTGTGTACAGAAAAAAACAACATCTCTCATAGACAAAAAACACCGAACTCATGTCAACCAAAATCGAAGCCGAATCTCCAGCCGGGGTCTGTGGCTCGACGGATCGACTAAAGGCATGGGTAACCGCCAACAACATGCAGAGGCAGAAGACTTGGCCATATGAAGCACAAGGAAGAATCGAAGCCAAATATCCGGGTGAATCTTCGGCCGACATCCACTGCCATATGAAAAAGAAGACTTGGCCAACAAATCGAACGGCCGCCACTTCACGTCCCTCCCCTTCATCCGAAAAACTCGCGCTAGGAGCAGCAACGCCGTTCGTCCTTTGAGCAGCCCTTCCATGAGCCGTCGACGGTTCTCCCAGCCGAGTCGAGTTCCTTACAGCAGCCCCCGTCCGCCATCACCACCGAGGACTCAGTCCATGAGTCGACAGCCGTTCGACGTGGCAATCTGACCGTTTGTCGCCGAGAAGTTCGTTCAAAGTAGCCAGGACCTGTCCGCACTTTAAATGTCCGTTCGAAAGAGTGTAGTAAACATATACACAATCTATACAGTGTTGTTTTTTGGAGTGCGCAAAGTTATTGGTTGAACTTTGTAAATGTCATGTAAAGTATACATTTGTTGTTTATCTTATGTACAACTACATTCGATTTGGATTTTGTAGTCATTCGGAATAGTGAATTATATTTTATCCCGATCTAATGTTATTTTTATGTTGCTTATCTTGTGTATAAATATACGATTAATATTACAGAAACTATCAGATCATGTTTATCTGATGTATATATATAGTATATCTAAACATATATTCACACTGCAAGAGCTCGATGAACTGAAAATCCCATTTCTATCAATAACATAAACATGAACCCATACCACAAATAAAACAATAAGTAAACACATCAATCTAATTTTGTCCTCAAGTTGTTCGATATATGATAGGCACATAAACAGTGTGAAGCCTCTGGATATACCAACATTATAAACGAAATATATTTAAATAATTAAGACAAAGATTACAACAATATGAGTTTGTTTACTTACTGTATATATTACGTTTATATATCCAAGAGGTCAGAAGTATACCTTTGCAACTGCATGTTTATCTCCCGTTTATCTTCCGTATACTTTACTGATTCCAGCATTGTATCTGCAGCATGTTCGGCGAATGCTCTATAAAATCCATCTATTTCAGTTATTTTTCACGAACTTGTACAATCGATGCCACTCGAAAGCTTTAAAGGTCTGCCCTGTATTTAATCGGCTTATGAATGACCCTATCGATGTGAGTTAGGCTCCTGTTGGCGTATTCATATTCGTATGATACTGTATTTTCACTAAACGCCAATAGTGTTGAGGTTTCTTCTAGGCAACGATGGCGGCTGAGTGGGAAATTGTTTTATATAATTTTTAAGCAGCATGAAACCCGAGGTCTGCGAGGTTTTTAATGGACTGGGCCTGCTTTATTTTTTGTCCAATATTAAGCCAATTCTATAAATATCAATGTTATCAAAACCGGACCGGACCGGCCGGTTCGACCGGTTCGACCGGGAACCAGACCTAGTACCGGCCCGGTTTTAGTATTTAAACTGTTGGGAGCATGAACCGTCCTCGAACCGTCCGAACCGGTTAAAAACCGGTGAACCGGTACCGGTTCGGACGGTTTAGCGGTTCTGAAATTGGNATGAATTATAAAAAAAAAAGTAAAAAACCAAACAAAATGAAAAGAGAGAATCGTACTCGGTCTTTACTAGCAAAAAATCCCAATTCAAAACCCTATCTCTATTTCTCCTTCTCTAATCTCTACATGTCTGCCTCCATCATCGTCATCGGCCCGCAACTCTGGTTAGGGCCCGTCCAAAATTCGCCGTGCGTCACATTTTCTAACAGAGTTGCCAAAATTCGCCGCCTCCATCTCCGTTCCTAAACACCTCTGCAACTCCGACGGTCCGACCTCTACAACTCCGACGCCTCCACTTCGCGACTCCGGCCACATTTTCTGCATTCGTGAACCATCTCTTCAACGACAAGTTGGTCGCACCTCCTGTCTTGGTAAGTTGTTCTTGTTCCTCTCAGCCTATTTATTTTGCACCTCTCTGTTCTTTGTTCGCTCGTCCAACTAGTGCACGGCCGTTCGGCCCTGTTCGTTGTTCACTCTCCCTCACAGGCTCTCCGTTGTTCACCTCTCTGTAGTTCACAGGCCCAGTTCGTTGTTCACGTCTCTATTGTTGTGCACCAAGCAGCTCTTGTGGTCCGACCGACTAGCTATCCGTCAAAGGCTCTCCGTCACAGGCTCATAGGTATGGAGGGTTCAAATAATGAAATGCTATCGACACAATCTAGCCGTGGAAAATCTGATCCTGCTTGGGAATTTGTCAGTTTAATTCGTGAGAATGGAAAGTCTACATACACTTGTTTGTTCTGTAAGAAACAATTCAAAGGTGGGGGAATTCATCGAATGAAACATCATTTAGCTGGGAAGAAGGGAGAAATAGCTCCGTGTAAGGAAGTGTCGCACGATGTTAAATCTCGGATGGCAGCACACTTGGATGAAGTAAAGCAAAAAAAAATTGATCCTAATTATGATGATTATGAGGAAGAAAGCACGACAAATGCACCTGAAGAAGTGCGAGAAGTACCCGAGCCTACTCCGGCTACCGGTAAAGGGAAGAGAAAAGCCGTGGCTGGTCCTGTCGATAGATATTTTGCGCCAAGGACAACTCCAGGATCTCAGCCAGGCCTTAAAAGTGTGTTTGCGACCAAAGAGGCTGTGAAAAATGCTATCATGGCTCTTGCTCGATGGTTCTACGCCAATTGCATTCCATTTAATGCGACCCAATCTTGTTATTTTCAGCCAGCTTTAGATGCAATTGCTGCCATTGGATCTGGATTTAAAGGTCCTTCATTTAATGATGTTAGGGCGAACTTGTTGGGAGATTGCAAAAAAGAATGCCAGCTTCTCGTTGAAAGTTATCGATGTTAGTGTTATATACTGAAAGCTTGGTTTTGCATGTTATTACACATTTACCCTTTATGAATGAGAATCATGTTAGATTAAACAAGTTCTACGTTCTGTTGTTCTGCACTTAGATAGGGTGGGTCGTCATCGGGCGAACCGAAGATCACTCTATCAGTCACTTGCGAACAAGAATAGTTGTTCACAACCTAGATGGACATGAACACCCCATCCGAACGGTTGTAGTGTCAACTGTACAGTTTGTCTTGACTGATTAGTTGCACTAGTACATTTATGTATTGAACAGGATCCCAGAGAGGAGAAGTTCATTTTATACTGATCGTCGTAAATGAACTAGGCCTCGGTTAATTACTGCGTTCTCTTAACCCGTAAGATATTAAACAGGCAGATATATATAATATATATTACTTTGATTCACATGGGTGAGGTTCAGTTCGCTGGATTAATATTCCTACTGTTTTGGGTAATATTATTATATATAGGATGTGCTGTTAGGATATTTACGGTCACCATGTGCGTTAGTTTGATGATGTCCCCGGAGTGAGTTCATGAAGGATTGTTATGCTAAACCCTGCAGGTGGATTAAATTCCGGCATAATAAGAATGTGATGAACGAGCGCTAGCTTCGGTGAAATAATAATAAATTAATTAATTCTTGATTGTCAGTAATCGAATTAATTAATGGACATTATATCTTAAACGTGGGGAGGTAAATCGAGTAATTATTATTGGAGTCTCAAATGTAATTTGGGCTAGGGAAAGGGAGTGCAATAATATAATGTTGGTGGCCCATTAATATTATTTAATTAATTAGAGGAGTGGGTTTGGCCCACAGTTAGTCTAATTAATTAAGGAGCCCTTTTCCTAATCTCCTTAGGGTCCCTACTGTAGCTCTATATATACATCATTAAGCTCATGAGAAGAGAATAGAATTCATTCTCACGTGAAACACGCCTCTCTCTCTAGATCTCATTCGAGCTTTATCTTCTTCTTGTTGCTCCACTGGTACAAGTTGAAGAAGGGTGTATTGAGTAATACAGTAGAAGATCTGTAGGTAAACCGAGACGAAATTGATTTTGACCTACAGAACTAACCGGAAGTCCGATTGAGACGTACAGTATACCCAGACGACCGTCTCGACGAGAGCTTTCCATCGCCGCCGACGTCGCCGGAATCCGACGCCGCACGCGCCCTCACGCGCCGCCGGAAGGTGTCTGGCAGCAAAATTTCGTTTTGATCTGTTTGCATCCGTTTGATCCAGTTTTGATCTGATCTTGTTCGTGCAACCCAAGACGCGTGTTGCGGTCAATCAATTGCGGTCAACCGTTCGTGGTCAACCAGATCTACATAAATTTTAAGCCGTAAGTTCTCTACGTCAAACCTTTAGATCCGCTGCGCATAGGTTTACGTTTGCTATTGAATTCGTGATTTGTACATAACGAGATCCTCACAGATCCCAACAAGTGGTATCAGAGCACTTGGTTAATTCGTTTTGTACAAAGTTCGAATTTTTACGGCTTTATTTGACAAGATGTGTTCAAACGCAGCCATATATTGGATTATATTTGCATAACTCGGTTTTGCAGGAAAATAGTTAATCCACTATTATGGCCGATTATGTGTTTGATGAATGTTGTTGAATGTGATGTATGGTTTTAAATTTGTTTTTAAAGCCTCGGGCATGTCGAGGAATTTATGGATGAATGTTTGTAATAATTATTCGCCCGGGGGTTGACCGGATAGATTTAATTATTTGTTTAGAAAACATGTACATCCATTCGTTGGATCTAGGATCGAATTATGTAATTTTGTAAATTATATTTTTCGTGTTGTGATCGTGTGTTGATAACCGGGAGATCACAAGAGATCAACGAGCCTCGAAGAATTAAAATAAAAAAAGGGAAACGGCGCGTTTTTCCGACCACTGGCGGCGGCGGCCGGCGGCCGGGCGGCAGCCAGGCGGCAGTCGGCGGTTGGCTGCAGGAGGTGGAGAGGTTTTGCCTTCTTGTCCAAGCAGTACAAGATCAACCAGGATTCTACTGCTTAAAGGAGTTCCAGTTGAACAGGGAAAAGAACTGTCACAGTTTCCTTGTTTAAGGAGACTCAATATTTAATGGCCATAATAGTGGATTTATTTATTTATTTAATTAAATTTATTATGCCATTAAATTATTATTTATGCATGTTAATTAATTATGTTCTTGCATGGGATTAATTTAGTATTGCTAGATTAATTATGCATGTTAATTAATTATGTAATGCATAGAATTAATTTAGAATTGTGTCAATAAATTATGCATGTAATTAATTATTGCACTGGCATGGATTAATTTAGAATTGCATAAATTATTGAACATGTTAATTAATTATTGCATTGACATAGATTAATTTAGAATTGCATGAATTAATATGCATGTTAATTAATTATTGCATTAACATAGATTAATTTGGAATTGTATAAATAGTTAAAAATCCTCATTAAATTATACTAAGTTTGAGAAGGGATTTTAAATTAAAGTTAATTGTAAAATTCCTAAGGCCTCCATTTCTAATTTGTCGGTAAATCAATTAATTGCGGTTATGGGCTCCCCCTCGGGTGACATTGCTAAAATTAATTGTAGGAAATTACCAGGACAAATTTCTAAAAGTAGACGGTTAGAGGAAATCTTATGAGAGCGTACGGGCTTCCCCTCGGATGACGTATAATCAAATTTGACGACCTTAGGACCGAGAAATGGGATTCACTTAGAATGCGATTAAATTTATTAACCCCCCTCGGGGTCCCTGAATTCTATTGCATGGCCAAATGGAGACCGACTATTAATTTCGTTCGTCATGAATTTGGTTTTGACTTATGGAAATTAATGGGCCTTAGAAAAGCCCTTCTCTTACAAAATGCGAGTTTGTAGGGCGACCCTCGTAGCATGCATTCTCACAAGGTGTAATAGATGTCGGTGGATTTAAGTTAATGTTGTTTTGAGGATATCAATATTAACAGTTAAATTCAAAAGTGTTTAATCTGTAAAATTTATTTGCATGATTCTCAGGATATTCATCATGTCGTTCAATCCGTTGTCTGTCATTCTAAAAGAAAATCAGCTTACTGGTCCTAATTACATTGATTGGAAGAGGAACTTAGACATAGTGTTGACTGCTGAGGGTTATAAGTTTGCTATCACTGATGCTTGCCCGGCGGTGCCGGCGGCTGATGCTCCTGAGCAGGAGAAAGAGGAGTATGCTCGGTGGAAGAAGGCTGATGAGATGGCGAAGTGTTACATTCTGGCTTCTATGTCGAATGTTCTTCAACATCAGCATCAGTCTAAGGACACTGCAGCAGATATACTTCTCAATCTCAGGGATCTGTTCGGACATCAGTCTAGGGCTGCTAGGCAAGAGGCTTTGAGTGCTCTGATGAGTACGCGCATGGCCGAGGGCACACCCGTAAGGGAGCATGCTCTCAGGGTTATGGCGCAGCTCAATGAGCTTGAGGTTATGGGAGGTTATATTGACGGGGAAACCCAGGTTGATATTATGCTCCAATCTCTGCCGAAGAGCTTTGATCAGTTCCGGTTGAACTACAACATGCACAAGATGCATATGGCTCTTCCAGAACTGCTTGCAGAGCTTCAGTCGGCGGAGGCCTTATTCACTCAAGCACCTCAGGTGCTAGTCGCCGAGCAGGCTGGACCTTCCAGGCCTCACAAGGGCAGGAAGAGAAAGAAGTCTGCAGGAAAGGTGAAGGCACAGGATGCTCCGGTTTACCCACGACCGACCCCTCAGGCTGTGGCAAAGAAACCGAAAGGAAGATGCCACAAGTGCAATAAGTCAGGACACTGGAAGGTCGATTGCCCTCTCCTCAAGAAAGGTAACTCTCTCGTTAATGTCGTAGAAACATGTTTAGCGGTTGTATCTACCAGAACCTGGTGTGTAGATACTGGAGCCACTGATCATGTCTGCAATTCTTTGCAGGGGTTCCAGGAAACCAAGCGACTTAGGGAGGGAGAGATCACCGTCTACATGGGCAATGCTACGAAAGTGGCGGCTGTTGCAGTGGGAGACGTTACTTTATCGTTCGATAGTAGTAGTTTGGTTTTGAGAAATTGCCTTTATGTTCCTAGTTTTAGAAAGAACCTTGTTTCAGTTTCTAAACTCGTTATGGATGGTTTTTCAGTTTCGTTTGATGACATGGTTATTATTCGTTTTGAAAATCGTTTCATATGTTGTGGTTCATTAGTTGGCAATTTATATGTTCTCAAACCGAACTCTCCCACAGTGCAACATAATGAATTGAATAATGTCATAACTACATCTAATAAGAGGAAGGAGTCTTCGCAGATGAATCAAGCATATCTGTGGCACCTTAGACTTGGACACATCAACCTTAGGAGGATTCAAAAGTTAGTGGCCAGTGGACATCTCGGTCCATTGGAAGAGCACTATCCAACTTGCGAATCATGCCTAGAAGGTAAGATGGCCAAGAGGCCGTTTACGGCAAAGGGGTATAGGAGCCAAGAAGTGCTAGGATTGATTCATTCTGATTTGTGTGGTCCTATGTCGATCCAGGCTAGAGGAGGTTTCGAGTACTATGTGTCTTTCATAGATGATTACTCGAGATTTGGGTACGTTTATCTGTTGCACCGCAAGTCCGAATGCTTTGAGAAATTCAAGGAGTATCGGGCAGTTGTGGAGAAGCTTCATGGTAAATGTATCAAGTCACTTCGTTCTGATCGAGGTGGCGAATACCTTTTTGGAGAGTTCAGGACATACTTATCGGAAGCTGGGATTGAATCCCAACTGACTGCACCCGGCACGCCCCAGCAGAACGGGGTTGCAGAGCGAAGAAATAGGACACTTATGGAGATGGTTAGATCTATGATGAGTTATTCGAGGTTACCAGATTCGTTTTGGGGAATGGCGCTGGAAACAGCATCGTACATTCTGAACTTGGTTCCATCGAAGTCAGTTGATACTACTCCTTACGAATTGTGGAAAGGGCGTAGGCCAGG